ATCTTTGGCATTTTTCTGCTAGCATTCCCTTTTTGATCTAGTTTTACCATGGTTCCAAGTCCTCAAGATGGACATATCTCTTCTATGCTTTACCTTCAATGTTCTTCTTGGAGCATCTGCTGACATGCTTTTTCTTCTCCTATTATTTTTGTAGGCTAAATTCCCACTTTTATCTAGGTTGAATGAAGCATATAGCGAGCTACCTCATTTCCAAAATGCTATGCCAGAGAACCAGCCAGATGCTCCCTCGGCATAGGGCACTTGTTAAACTAGTAACTTGATGAGGTCCATGAATAATGCTGAATGGTCCATCTGTTTGGTGGCTGGGAATCTGGAACATTATAGTGTTTCAATTGGTTTTTTCTTTATAAATATCAGTTTCTGCTTATGATTACTCCACCTCCCTGTTGCTGGAAGGGGGAAGTTGTGGAAAACAGTGTTGGATAAAGTCAAATGGCCATTGCTTAAACTGTTAAATCCAAACTCGGTTTGGCATTTGATGATTCTGTATGACCAATTATGTGTTTATTTTCCTTTCAGAAATCTGATCAAGATGATCAACTATTTTCACTTAGAGGAGATGCTTTATTAATAAAACAAAAGAAGTTACGAGAGATCTCCTTGTAGATCAATTTGATCAATTAACTTATATTAAAACTCACTATTTTCTATTTTCCGCCTCTCTCAAGTTCCATAGCAAACTCATCTACAAAAAGCTGCCACCAATGAAGCTTAAAGGTAACAACACCTTTGAGGCATAATATGTACTGATAAGTTATGTTGAGGGCTATGTGCTGTTCCTTCCATGATATGGCCTAATGATAATAAGGATAATTTAATCCAGAAGTTATTGTAACATGCAGAAATTGATATGTATGACATGTTTATCTGAAGTTTCATTTGAGTTCAATTTGGCGGTTATAATCTCTGATGTCCAGTTTCACATACACCATAATCTATCTGTCTGCAGAAAACCTTTTAGCTTAAATATTTCATTTAGATCATCTCTGCCCTTTTCTTGTGTGTGTACATAAGTATTTAGGTACGAATGTAGGTACATATATGTATGTATGTATGGGTAAAGAAATACGAAGGACGTACTGAGAGGGAGCCTGAGGGCAAGCATCCATGAACTAAATATTTGTGAACAAAATCCATCAATTCTTGCTTTTCGAAAGGACAAAAACAAAAACTGAGAGTTGGAAGAATCATTCTCATCCAAGTGTTTCTGAGAAATACAAATACCATTGAGCTCCCACAGAATCCTTCTTATGCTATCGGCTCTTTTTTAGTCAGTTCCATGGACTTCCCTTAGGATCTATTGTACTAGGACTAACAATTCTAATTTCCTAATAATAAAAAAAATGTTTCTATTTATAAAAGTCAGTGATATATATCTTTAACATGGTAAGTTTACGGTTTAAGAAGGTTCATGTGTAAATGTGTGGTATCTTAGATGAAAAAAATTGAATAAAGATGGACTTGTAACCTAACAATTTAAGCTCTCTAGTTTAAGAATAAGAGAATGGAGTAACCATTCTCTCAGATCAAACATGCAGTTAGATCTTTTCTTCTTCCTGCCAAATATTTAAGCTTTTTAAATATTAAAATGACAATGGGTGAGGTATTCATGCCTTACCCTAATCCAAATAAAAATCAACATTTAATCCAAACCCAATTATTGATGCTAGCAAATAAACTCGTAATTAGATAAAAAAAATTTGAAAATGTTATGAATATTTTGTGAATATC